AGTTCTTCATTCAGTGCTTTCTAATAGGTACTATTTCATCTAGCCAGTTTCATGAATGATCAGTTAACTGATTCATTCTCAAAACTTTAAAAACCAAATTATTTTAACAAGCAAAAAATGATAAAAATACTTTTAGAGAAGAACATTCTGGGGTTACTTTAAAGTAACTTCTTATCTGAGATACTGCTTTTAGATTGGGGAGTAGTCCGAACTCACCCTTTTGTTTCACTGCCTGAGTTACCTTCTTCCCTCAGGAAAAGTTTGTAGATTATCCCCGGGCCATGGGAAAGCTAAATGTCTCCTAAAGTGTAGTATCCATGGGTGCTACTTCTTCTCAATCAAACACACTTGGGCCCAAACTCCAAGCTGGTGAGTGCCAGAACATTTAAAAGTCGTCAAATTTTAATCATTTTTAAATCATCTACCACTTCAGGTCTTTCTCAAAATTATAAATAATGGACAATGACATCCTTGCCACCAATAGGTGGGCTCTGCCGCGAAGGATAGAAGATCTTCAGCCTGTCAAATCACATTCAACAATCAGTGCTTTCTGTATGTAGTTAACAAAATGTGGCAAAGAAAAAAAATTTCTTGAAACAAATGCTTACAATCTTGAAAATCCCTCAACTGATCTTTTTTGCCGTCTTCAAATGCTCCTGTTTCTCTCCTTCCTCTGTCAAGTTTAACAAATGTGTGCTCCATGCCTGCTCTTGTTTTCTGAAGTCGTTTTAGCCCCCAGCAGTTGGGCTTCCTCACTGCTGTACTGAATCATTTCAAATTTTGCTTTATCTGTCCTCATTCTCTTTACCCTTCACTTGCATCTGATAGTGCTGACTTACTCCTTTCCTCTAATATGTCTCCCTTGGTTTCTGATATTCCAGAATCCTGGAACTTGCAATACTGACCACTTAGTGCTAGAGGCTGCCAGTTATCTCCCAATATGCATCCTCTTCCTCTGTAACAGAATCCCTCAATTTCACTTGGGTACAATGCTGCCCCAAATTTCAAGCCTCCCTTGCAGCTAAAAGGGAGAAGGCCTATGTGATATTAGCAAAAGTGGTGTGTAAATTTGCTGGAAAGTATCCCTAAGGAGGATGGTGCATTCTCTAGACTCCTTTTTACTCCTTCTTGGGTGTTGGAATGCAGATGTGATAGTCTTTGGATCTAGGTCAGCTATGGGTAATGAAGCAACATGATAAAAGAAACTTTGTTTCCCAATACTACAGAGGCCCAGTCTACCTTCTTGGATTTTTACACTAGGGAGAAATTTGTATCTTGTTTGATCTTGTATCTTGAAACTTGTATCTTGTCTGTCATTTGCATGCCTTTTTTGCCTACTACTGCATAGTCTTTGTCACTTCAACTAGACCGTATGCTCTTTGGGAATATATGTTCTGACACTGTACTTTACAGTACTGAAATACTTAATGACTGACCTAGATTTAAATGGACTTATTACAAAATTCTGGATGGGTCACTCTTTTTAATATTAGTTGGGGGGTTGTAATAAAGTGGTAGATGAAAGCTCTCAGTAAAAGAGGTCAAAGTAAAAGAAGATTTGGATATTCTCAGAGTTACTGTCTTTCTCCCTGACTTTAGGTGTAGTGCTGGAAACTAATTCAGAGAATGGGAAAAATATTTAAGAAAACAGGATAAAATTTAGGTATATAAAATACTATCTATAACATAGTGTTATTGAATAGAAATTAAAAAAAAAAGAAATCTTAAATGAATGGATAAGATTTCTAACTACTTTGTCAATCATATGGGTATAACTTATCAGAGGGAACCACCTTTTCTCCAGTCTTCTGGTTTCTATGAGGAGAGCTTCTCTCTAAATACACTCCTGACCTCCTGGCCTTCCTCATTTTACTTGTTCTCCAGGAGATGGAGGACTTATCTGATCAATACAATTTGGAAGAACGACTGAGGCTGTCTGGCTGAGTAATTCTCTTCTCTTGGGGGCAAGTTTATCCAGGGAGTACACATTGCACTTTGTCATTGAAGATGGACAGTGTAGACACAGACCAAGTAGTCCCCTTTCAATTCTATTTGCCTTTGACTTCTTAGTGAGGTCTTTGCTCACAATTATCTTAAATAAGCATTAGCTTAGTTTCCAACCCATTCATTATTAATTTTGAATAAGTGAAGCTTAACAGAAAAGTTTTGTGTCTGTTAGTTTTCAGGTAGAATAAAGAAATGTGTTTAACAGCAACAATGATTTCATTTGTCCCTTATGTTCCATTTGTTCATGTGCCAGGAGTTAGGTTCCCTCTCATGTGCATATTCCATCAGTAAAGCATCAACAGTTCCCTTACCCAATTCATAACCTTCCTCACACATCCAGGATTTACACAAGGTAATAACTAAGGCCCAAAGGCAAGGGCACTCCCAGGATACTGGGCTGTTCATATTGCCTATGAAACTCTGTTGCATAAAAGACATAAGAGTATCCAAGCATTCCTTCAAGGTCACTAGATGATTCACACTTCTCAAAAGGTAGGTTTGCCTGTATTTGCTCTTTAAATTGTAAAAACTGTTCTGCTTTGATCAGGGGACAGAAGATCTGGGAAGAAAGATATAAACATTTCTAAAGACCTACTTTGCTCAGGGTAGTAAACCAAGTACTATATACATTCTAATTCATTTAAACTCTCTGTAATCAATGAGAAATTGTGATTGGAGAAGTTAAAAATTAATTGTCCAGGTTTACTCAGCAAGTGGCAGTTCCAACAGTGGAACTTCAAAGCCTGTGTACATTCCCCCATATTTCACAGCCTTCCACAAGTTCTATGACCTGCACAAGCCTATGCTACAGTGTCGATTATTTAGATCTATTTTGCAACCTAAGGACACAAACCAGTCTTGTGCCAAAGTCCAGATCCATTTTTTACCTCAGTGGTCTTTGAAACCACCTGGGTGTCCGTGTTAGACTGTAAAAATGTTTTGTACTCTTCCTATCAAGAGGTGGAGTCTTTTGCCCTACCCTTTGACTCTGGGCTAAACATGGACTTCTTTGACTAGACTGTGGCAGAAGCAACATTATGAGAGTTCTCAGCTTGGGCCTCAAGAAGACTTGCAGCTTTCACTTTGCATTCTTGGAAGCCTCTGTCACCAGATAAACAAGGTCAGGGCGACCGTGATAGCGGATGAGAGATTACATGGAACTGAAATTGAGTCACTGAGGCATCCCTGCTGATGGCTCCCAACCTGACTGGAGAGACTACAAATGCATGAATCATCCCAGCTGAGCTCAGCTCAAATTGCTGACCCACTGACCAGTGAGCAGAATGGTTGTTGTTTTTAGCCATTACATTTTGGAATAGTTTGTTAAACAGTGAAAACTAACTGATATAACCTCTCCAACATACATTCAGAGATTTCTTTCAGTTAAACATAAATGGAAATAGGCCTAAATGTCATTAAAAAGTTTATTGTACATTGCTTATTCATGTATTTTGCTACCTTCAAGCCCAGTCTGATTCAGGGTTAGAGTTTCATAAACCCAATAAACTGGATCTTCAAGCAGCTGACAGTGAACTGTTCCAGGCTTCCCCACTCTTAGGCTCTTTGTGGCAAGGACAACTTCTCATAACTCTTTGTATCTCCTTGTAATACTTAGTGCAAACCTTTATTATATCATACATTCTCAATAAAATTTTTAAATCAATAGAAGAGATTTTAACCCTTAAGGAAGCTAGAATCTTTTAACAGCTTGAAGCACAGTATAAGAACAGCCACGGTAATAAAACTGGGCAACTTTTACAAGTGATGGAAGAAAGCCACGTATACTAGCAACTTCAGGGCTTAAGAGCTTCAGCCCTTGAGTTTCAACTACATTGTACTTTCTAAGTCTTAGGAGACAGTTCAGGCCAAATACAGAATCAGAAATTAAAATGTGTACAAAAGGCTTATAATCTGTACTTTTTGAGCATGACTAAGTTTTAGCAAAAAGCTGGAATCAAGCCTCACATATAACTGGATGGTGCTTAACAAAATAATGATGAATTCCTGCTATTGCTTAGTGCAAATTTCAGTTGAACCATAATTCTGGACACTATATCAAAGCTTCTGAGAGACTGTCACTTCATGGACAAAAATAGGCTTTATCTGTAAGAGATCTGAGTTAACTAATTAAATTGAATTAGCTCTTATAGTATTTTCTTCTTTATATCAAACTGTTTTTATTAATATAAACACAACATCAGTTTAACACACAAACAAGCATTTCAAGTTTAACAAAAGATACAACTCTACTTTAAATGCAACTCCATTGTTCCATTACAGTAATTACCATCAGCTAAAAAAGACTGTGATACAAAAAAGCAGGATCTTTCACAATGACTCTGCTTTCAGATTTTAGAGCTGAACCTGAAACAAAGTTGCTACGCCACTTGGAAAAAATAAATTGTGCCTGGTGACTGAGTTGAATAATGGTTACTGAAGTGCTGTGGCATCATCAACTAGACACTGCCTTTGTGTACCTGCAGATGGAGATGGACAGAAGAGGCATGAATCCCGTTTGGATAAGTAAGGGTGGCCTACAAGCTGATTCTGAATATTTTTTATACTTGGGAGCTGAGCCAATGAGATAAGATTAGTGGTTCTAGGGCCAAAATATGGAGTGTGATAATGAAGGCCACTGTGTACTCTCTCAGGGGCTTGGAATTGCTATTCCCCACAGAATTCCCTTCAACGGGACCTGTGTTTCTCACACCTAGGTTCCATGTTAATTCCTAGGTGATTCTAATTTCATTCATTCATTTAACCAAATTCTGCTGAATGCTTACTATGCTAAATGCTATTTCCTGTGAGATGATTCAGTAAGGCAAATACTCCTGAAAAAAATAGGAAAAGAAGGAAGCGGAGATAAATAATAATTTAGGGATAGTCTAATCTGTGCAAGAAATAACAAGTATTTCTGAAACAAACATGTAGGTATATTTGTGCTTCAGTCAGAATGAACTAAGTGAAAAACAGAAAAAATCTTTCACTGGTACCTGTATCCCAATTCTTCACTAAGATGGATCATATGAAGGATATAGGATTCCTTGCTTGTTCCAGTGAGTCCAGGCAACAATAAGATAGTAGGTCGGGTCCTGACATCCATATAACACTTACTGTTATCATTATCAAACCAGTCCAGGGAAATCTGCCCTCCATCTGCAGTTTTAATAAGTTCACTGAAAGAAATAATTCAAGAGAATTAGTAAATTCTTCAGTTTCATGTCTTAATATGAGTGTCTTAATTCTATAAATATGTGACATTATTTGGTCATCTAAAAATAACTTTTTTTTCAGCGTTTGCTAACATACAAAATGAAATCACTTTCTTTAATAATAAGAATGTATGAAATTAGTACCATGAAGAAATCCCAGCAACACCAGTAAGAGGTAGCATGTAAGAATGAATGTCAAAGTACTTCAAATATTTATCTTAATCATTTCCTCATTACTCTAAAATACCCAGCATTTACCTTTTATTTGACTGAGGTGATCCAAATAATTCATCAGGGAATTATAAATAAGTAAAATGCAGACTTGGTCCTGGTCTGGCTCTTTGACTCAATAATGCAGTCTCCCCAAAGAATGTATTACAAAATTTGCTTCTGAAATATTTTAAAGTACTTCTTCCAGATCATCCATGAATGTATAGAATTTTCCCAAGTAGTTTAAGTTCCAAGCAACAAAAGCAACTCCAGAAGGACTAGATGACTCAGGGAAATTAATAGTAGGCACCATTTAAATCTGGCTACTGATACATTCTGGACAATATATTTGACACCTTAAGGACATTATCATCAAGAATCCATTTGCTTATTGATATGAAGTTCTGTCACAGGGGTCCATCACACAAAATCCAAATTAGTTGTCATCTTTCTGACCCCCACCCCCACCCTGGAATCGATGAACTGGTGCTCATCACCAAAGGACGTAGGTCCTCAGGTACAGATGCATGACAAACTGGAAAGGAGTACTCCCAATCACTTCTCTAGAAATGAACCATTTAACTCAGGACACCCTCCTGTCCCCCTAGAAAAGGTTAAAGGAGATACCAGAATGTTTTCCTGCAGCTGGGTGTATATATGTGTGTGGGGAGGAACCTACCTTCCATTTTCCTTTCCCCCTTACTTTTCTATACACCTACTAAATTGGAGGTTCTATTAATCAAGAACTGTCAGGGTGCAAAAAACTGTGATTTTGAGGAAATGACCGAAAATGGAAATTTACTTACTTCCTGTACTGCACTGGGGGCTTGGAAGTGATGAAAGGTCTCAGCAGTGTCTGTCCTCGACTCTCCCAGCACCAGACCGTCGGGTAGTACGTTTCTGTCACCACGGGACAGCGGTCCCGAAGGAAGCGGCTGAAACTCTCACACCCCGTCACTAACTGCGGCTTCTGCGGGGAAAGCCAGTATCAGGGCAAAGCCCAGGACAGAGCAAAGTTTCCGCCAACCGTACAGCAGAACGCGCACAGCCTCGTCCCCCCCGCGCGCGCGCACGCGCTCCCTCGGATTTCATCTTCTGGAAGCCTGATGCAAATAATTCAGTCTCACCGGACGTAGAGAGGTTATCAGACCCCAGGGAAAGGCGAGCGTTGAGATAAAGGGAGTCATTCTCAGAAGGGCTAGAGTCTGGCCGAGCAGCAGCGCCGGGTTAGCGGATGGTGACAGGGCAGCGCCACCCGCGCCGAGATCAGCAGGGTCCGGGCTGCGGTTCGAGGACCCGGGCCGGACGCTCAGGCAGGCGGGCAGGGGCTGGGGGGCTTTCCCGCGCGCGCTCAAAGGTCGCCCCTCAGATGTCGGGGAAAGGGCGACGGTTCAGGACAGCATGCTCGCCTCCAGGACGGTCACCCGCCCCTGCCAGCCGCAACTCCGGCTTCGCTCACCGCTGTCGCTCCCTGCAAAGCAGCCCGCGGCCCTGCGCTTGGCCCGCGCCGTCCCCCCGCTCACCTTGGCGATGCTGCTCAGGTAGTAGCAGGCGTAAGCGACGCTGAAGCCCAGGATCAGGGATAAGCCCACTCCCGAGCCGAAGAACCCGACCCGGACTTGGTGCTCCAGGTAGAGGAAGAGCTCCCGGGAGAGCATCTGTAAGTTCATGGCCACGCGCTGCCCCACAGGGGAGCGCGCCGCGCAGCTCCTGCGCCGGGAGTCCGGCCAGCCCCGGAGCGAGCGAACGCGGGAGCCGCGCCGGCCCAGCCCGGGAGCCTCGACCCGAGAGTCTCCGGCCGGGCAAAGCGCGGCTTCCGCTAATGGGCGCGGCCCAGAGGCCCGGGAGGCGTGGCCTGGCCCGCTGGACGGTGCCGGCTCCTCCCCGGCCTCCTCGGAGCCGTCCCCACCGCTAGCCACTTAGGAACCTTTCGGAGGCGCGGTTCCAGGCGTGGCCGTCCGGCAGAGGGGCGGACAGGGGCGTCTGGCCGGGTCTCAGCTAGTTGAACCCCAGTAGTGTGGAGAGAGCAGGCGCTCAGTTCGGAGAAGGAAATGGACCTGGCAGCGTGGGTTCAGGTTCTGGGGCCGGTGCCTGCTCTTGTGACCTTGAACGATTTCTCAGGGCGGTGGGTCTCCGTTAATTCTTCCTGTGAACTAACGGCTAGGGTGCTGGGGTAGTGTGCCTGGGATTTAAAGATTTGGAGAGTTAATGCCAAAGATATGTTAGGAGAATGCACTACGTGGTAAAAAAAAAACTAACATTTCACATCCCTTGAGAAATTGTGTTGCCTTCTTGACTATCAAATGAGAAAAATTACAAACATTCAACAGTGAGGAAATTCATACTTGAATTAAAATAGTCTCTTAATCCTTTTAGAAACTAAGTATGCCTTAAATGAAATGAGGTCACTGAAAATACAGTTGCCCCTTGAACAGGCTGGGGTTAGGGGCTCTGGCACAAGGAAGAAAACCCCCTTTTAATTTTTGACTCGCCTAAACTTAATTACTAATAGCCGACTGTTGACTGGAATCCTTACTTATAAACAGTGGATTAACACATTTTGTATAGGTGCTATATACTGTATTCTTGCAATACAGTAAGCTAGAAAAAAAAATGGTTTTTCAAACTGATGCAAATCTCAAAAAATTTTTTCAATATATTTACTGAAAGAAATCTGCATGCAAGCAATCCTGTACAATTTCAACCAGTGTAGTTTAAGGGTCCACTGCTAATGAGAAGACCAGGAATAGGCCCTGGGATTCCAAACTTTTTAAAGCCTATTTGTGGATCATTAGTGCTTTGAACTTAGACATACAGAAATTCACCATTACCTAATACAGGAATAAGAAACCATTTATGAATTAGGTTCTTCTGGGCTTATTTATGGCAACATGACTAATGCCAGGAGATACAGGCATCTGAAGGGTAGGAAGACTTAGTCTGTTATTATGAACTTCTCCCACCAAGAGGTAACAAGAGTGGCAAGACTTAAACAGGGGAAAGGAAAAGGAAAAGAGCCACATAGACTTGGAAAAATTTCACAGGACTGTAAATTAATTATATACATTAGTAATAGGGAAATGAGATGGGCCAGAAGTAAGCAATTTCTTTGACTTTGATTTTGGTCATTGCAACTTGATGGTTACCAGTGCCTAGAATAATTCAGATGCCTGCCATGAGTCTGCTTAAAAAACTTTTTTTCACTTGTAGAGTAATAATTTTTGCTATGAAAAAATGTTGGGATGACTAAATGAAATGATGTATGTGTTAGCCTGCCCCTGAGCATAAATAATTCTCTTTCTTTCCATGGCCTTGTCACTTGAGCACACCCTGAACACACAAATGCACATGCTAGTTGCCATACTTGATACTTCATACACAGCATTCTCCCCACCCTTTTTTTATTAAGCTATTATTGATATACACTCTTATGAAGGTTTTACGTGAAAAAACAATGTGGTTACTACATTCACCCATGCTATTGTGTTATATGCAGCATTCTTTATAATGCCTATACCTACCTTCTGCCCTGCCTACCAGTATATACATGTATATTTCATTCTGCTTAAATTTAAAGTGAAAATATCATAAAGTAGGATATTTCATAGGCATCAGGTATATAAAAAGACATATTGACCTGAATGGAGTAAACTCAGAACTCATCTACCGAATGTGGGCAAAACGTTTCACTCTCTCAGAACCTAGATTCCTTGTCTATGAAATAAGATGATTGAGATGGCAGATGTTGAACTTTCTTTCCTGAAGGACATTCACAGTCTTCCTAAATGCATAAATGATTACTTCCAATTTAGATGAGGAAATGAGAGCTCAGACCCTAACTTGTCCTCCCAGTGATCTCTTTCTCCTGGGGTTCATGCTTTTGTATAACCCCATTCCCCTGAGTGCATGTAGGACATGTGACTTAGTTCTAAACAATAGAATATAGTAAAAGTGATGGGATGTTACCAGTCCTATGATTACAATATGTTATATAACTCTAACTTGGCAGATTGGAGCTAAAGTTTCTCCTGCTGTCTTGAGGAACCCAACAGTCATATGGATTGCCCATGAAGAGAGCTACATAGCAGGGAACTAGCTATGACTTCTAACACTTGTGGGTGGCTTATAGCTGGCAATGAGCAGAAAGATGGGGTACCCTCAGTCCTACAACTTCAAGGAAATGAATTCTGCCAAAACCCTGAATGAGTTTGGAAGCAGATTCTTCTTCAGTGAAGCCTCCAGATGAAAATATAACCTGGCCAATATCTTGACTGCAGCTTTGTGAGAGCCTGAGCAGAGGGGCCATCTAAGTTGTGCTTTGAACCCTGACCCACAGAAACTGTTAGCTAATAAACATGTATTGCTTTAAGCTGCTAAGTTTATGGTAATTTGTTATACAGCAATAGAAAACTAAAAGAGAGGGAGAGATTTAAAGATGGTGGCGTGAGAGGTGAGACAGAAAACTCCTCACAAACCACATATAATATGGAAATATAGCAAATATATCTAATCCTAAAAGAGCAACAGGAAAGAAGGCTGCGGCGGACTGCTTACATCTGGATAAACCAGCAGACCTCAAGGAAAAGGGTAAAGTACCAAAGCTGTAATCTGGAGGGACCCAAGCAATTCTCCCACCCCAGCTCACCAGAGGGAGGAAGAGAACTGGAGTGGGGAGGGGGTGGAGGCCTAGGACTGTTGAACACCCAGCCCTGGAGATCTGCTCTGGGAGCATGAACCTATATTATGTGGTGCTCTGGAGATTAGTGGGGTAGGAAAGCTAAGGCAGGCAGAATACTTGGACAAACTGAGATTTCAGCCACTTGTGGAAAACATGTATCTACAACTGGCCACTCTGGGAGAAAAGAAATGTCAGTACTCTGAGAGAATTCCTAACAGCAAGAGGGCTGCTAAAGGGGTAAGGACTGCACAGAGCTTGCTGCTCAGGAGAAAGGACAGGTAGACAAAATTGTCTGGGCGCACTCTGCTCAGCAGGTTGGGAAATTTCAGGAGCTTCAGGTGCTCCATCCCCCTGGCTGGCTACACAGTTTTGAGGCCCCCTACTGCAATATGCAGCCTGCTGTGCTTTCATCCCAATCCCAGCTGGCACCAGCTCCAAAATCAGCTGCCCCTGCCGTTGCAACAGGCCAGCTAGAGGGCAGTCCTGCCTATAGCAGCTACAAGTGAAAGCATAGAGGCTCCTCCCTGCACGCTCGGCCCACTGGCCCTGGCAGTGGAGGCAAGTACTGCAGCAGGAAGCAGAAAAGAGCTTTTTCCTCCACATAGGCACCAGCAGCGCTCGCCTGCAACCCCTGCTATCGGTCCATGGGCTGACCAGCTCCAGAGATTAGAAATTATGGGCACTAGAGGGTGCAACCTACAAATATGAAATGTCAAAGGAATCTGGTTTAAACCAAAATCCCACAAACACCAGAAAGAGGCCAAGTGAAACTGAACTCATTACTCTTTCTGAAAGAGATTTCAAAATAAAAATCATAAACATGCTCATGGAGCTACAGAAAAATATTTGACAACTCAGGGAGTAATTCCGGAATGAGATACAAATGTCGAATAATTCATTATCTAAAATGAAACATAAAATGAGGGATTTAAAAGCAGAATAGATGAAGTACAGGAGACAGTAAATGAAATATAAACTAGAGAACAGAATACAAAGAAGCTGAGGCACAGAGAGAAAAAAGAATCTCTAGGAATGAAAGCATATTGAGAGAACTGTGTGACCAATCCAAGTGGAACAATATTTGCATTATAGGGGTACCAGAAGAAGAAGAGAGAAAAAAAAGGGATAGAAAGTGTCCTTGAAGAACTAATAACTGAAAACTTCCCCAATATGGGGAAGGAGATAGTCTCTCAGGCCATGGAGGTGTACAGATCTCCCAACACAAGGGACCCAAGGAACACAACACCACAACATATAATAATTAAAATGGCAAAGATCAAGGACAAAGACAGACTTTTAAAAGCAGCCAGAGAGAGAAAAAACATCACATGCAAAGGAAAACCCATCAGGCTATGATCAGACTTCTCAACAGAAACCTTACAGACCAGAAAGGAGTGGCATGATATATTTAATGTAATGAAGCAGAAGGGCCTAGAACCAAGAATATTCGACCCAGAAATATTATCATTTGAATTTGAAGGAGGGATTAAACAATTTCCAGATAAGCAAAACCTTAGAGAATTAACCTCCCACAAACCATCTCTACAGTGTATTTTGGAGGGACTGCTATAGATGGAACTATTTCTAAGGCTAAAAAGCTGTCAACAGAGGGAAAAAAACCACAGTAAAGATAGTAGAACAATTAATTACTAAGCAGATGCAAAATCAAATCTACCCCAAAGTCAGTCAAGGCATAGACAAACAGTACAGAATATGACACCCAATAAATAAAGAATGGAGGAGGAAGAAAAAGGAGAATAAATAGAACCTTTAGATTGTGTTTGTAATAGTACACTAAGTGAGTTAAGTTAGACTGTTGGATAGTAAGGAAGGTACCCCTGAACCTTTGGTAACCACGAATATAAAGCTGCAATGGCAATAAGTACTACCTATTGAGAATCACCCTAAGTGTAAATGATCTGAATGCATCAATCAAAAGACACAGAGTCACTGAATGGATAAAAAAACAAGACCCATCTATATGCTGCCTACAAGAGACTCACTTTAAATCCAAAGACATACACTGACTGAAAGTGAAGAGATGGAAAAAGATATTTTATGCAACTAATAGGGAGAAAAAAACAGGAGTTGCAGTACTTGTATCAGACAAAATAGACTTTAAAACAAAGAAAGTCACAAGAGACAAAGAAGAACATTAAATAAAGATAAAAGGGTCAGTCCAACAAGAGGATATAACCATTATAAATATCTACGGACCCAACACAGGAGCACCTACATATG